TAGTTTAAAGATTTCTCTAATTTTGCAACGATTGATTCTGGAATTTCTACAAAAATAGGAAATCCTAGCTTTTCCAATATTTTGGATAGGTCTGATGATTTGCAGAAATTCTTGTCGTTTAAATGCCCATCATTCATTGACAAATATCCTGAAGGTCCACGAAAAACTCCAAGATTAGGTTCGAGAAGATTAATAAGATCTTGTAAAAGATTTTTCCATAAGCTATACTTAGTGTCCAATACTTGAGAGGATCCATTAGCTGGTATTGGCCAAAATGTATAAATTTTTTCGTAGGAAACATTTTCGACTATTTCTGTTAAAAGTTTCTTCCATGCTTCGGGGATAGTCTTTTCAAATAAATATCTATTCCATGCACCTTTAAGACGTAATAGATCACCTGGCGCCTAAAATTTATAAAAAGATAAAGTTATAAATACTATGACTTCTGTAAGCAAAAAACCAATAATAATGATGATGATAAAATTATTAGTGCTATAGTACCAGATCTTCATCCATTGAAATCTCTAAATGTCTTCTGTTTTTACTGACGGCAAAGCAACCATTAATCGAAACAGAAAAGTCATCGTAATTATCAGGTAAGGGTAAGAAGCAGTAGAGCTTTCCTTTATTTCTAGAAATATTGTCAATCCGTGCAGCTAATCCAACGATTGGTATAAATTTACAATCACGAATGTGATTCTTGAATTTAATATATTTTTCATCATTCGTGCTAGAAATATAGTTAACAATTAACCATTCACTTTTGTTATTGATACGCTTAGCCTTAGCCTTTTGGAAAAACTTCATTTTATAAATTGCTTCAAAAGAATCTTGACCCGTTGGAGATGTCATCATTGATATCATATTTTTAGTTAACAAATTCCTTTCATGAATTATTTGCCTCATATTATCAACTCCAATTTCATACAAGAGTTCAGGTTTAACACCATCTTCTTTAAGTTCGAAAAATAGAATCTTTTCTATATGCTTCAAAAACAAGAGGCAGGAAATATTGTCAACGTCGAAAAAGATATCGAACAAGTTTTTAATTTGTTCAGTTTTGTACTCTTCATTGGAAATCTCTGATTCCTCTACATCCCTAGAAGTTCGAAGTGGATATCTAAATATTGTTCCATTATGAAACCCATCTGGAATATTATCGAATTGATGAGGATTCTAATTAATAGAAAAAAAATATAGACATAAATATCACTGTAACTTTGAGCAGAAGGAGTGACATACTAAAAATCGGAGAATTATAAATTGGTTTTAGGTGTAAAAGTATTTTAATTCGAAAGTTAAAAAATTTTACTTAGAAAAATTTGACCATTTTCTACAGACTTCCCCATATACCCCACATTCCCATATTGTCGTACAACGTTGCCTTTGTTGGTGATCCAATATTATTTCTATTTATGGAGTGAAATATTCAATCCCCACTCATGTATGTATACTTGCTGACCAAACTACAAATCTACTAAATCACACCCAAAACCAAATAAGAACTATAAAATAAAATCGTTCTAATTCTAAGTTCAAACTAAGAAGTCTTGCTGACAAACATATACAATAACTGTCGATAAATCAAATTAATTTAAATCGCCTTTATTAATAAAAATATTAAACTTTTACCTTTTTAATTAATTCTGATTTTATGAATTCAACCAAAAAAGGATCAAATTGATCAGGATGCTAATGAATAAAATATAAATTGTTAATGATTATTGAATAGCCATCAAGAAATACAACTGATTGATATATATAATATGGTTTTTACATTGAGCATATCACGTTTTACGAATTTGGTCGAGAACCCTCTCTGACCAGCTTCCCTGTCACAATATTTTCGCGCATGGGGATCAATAAGAACGTAGGAAGATCCGGAAATAATTGAGCTAACATCTGAGATATGGAAAATCGAATTGAACCCGATACCCATAACTAATATAATGTAATAATTCCAAATATTATAATTTATTTTAATAATTATCTTTTTTTCTTTTTTTTTTAAAAAAAAAAAAAAAATTGCGATAAGATTTACCTCCTATTTTATCATATTTATCGATTTTTTCGCTATTAGCCAAACTAACCAAAGATTTAAAATCATCAGGTTGAAAGATTGTGTCATTAGCAGACAAAAGTGCAGGGCCTTGATATCTTTTAAGTTTTGAATCAAACAACGTTTTAGAAGGATAGGTTTTATGATTCAAAATGAAAATTTGAACAGTGCTTTTCGCATCATCAGAGTTTTGTAAAATTTCTCTAAGGATTTGTGATCCATCTGGGTATTCAGTCAAAATATTCTTAATTCGAGTTGTGTATTTTTCATCTGGGTGAAAATTTTCGTAAATCATTTTGATATAATTATTTCTGTATTTGAGATTGAGATTATTTGTACGTGCAAAATATGAAAGAGAAGGATTTACACGAAATTTTAGAAAATCGATTTTTATATACAGGACAGATCGGAAAATTTCGGCTGAATTTTTCCGAATTACGTACGTACCCATGATTGTCCGAAGCAGGGATAGTCAACTTGATTACAGTAATCGGTTTTTATAATAATAAATATGCGAGTCAGGTCAAACCGTTAACATCCTAAGTAGGGACGATTAAAAATTAAAAGAACGATTTGACATTATATACTAAGCAATAAAAAAATCGTAAAAAAAAACTGAACCGTTTATGATTTATCATCGTTAATTAAAAAATACTAAACAAAAACTGATATGTTTGTTTATTTATCATACTCAACTAATTAAACCACCAAAATTTATCAGAATTAATTTACATAAGATAATGAAATAAATAAAACTATTAAATAAAAATCTATACAAAAGCTTATTATCCTATCTATAGAAATTATCTTTTAATTCAAGCGCTATATTGCTAAATCTAATTCTTTTTGACCATATCAAAAAAATAATAATTCTTTTTTTTTTTTTAATGACGAATGTATTATTTTAGGTTTAAAAATTCTCGTACCTTAAGATACTACTAAAAAACGTTATTTAATTTACCCGCATTTTAACATACTTTTAAACATATATTCGCACTTTAACATACTACTAATTTATTTTCACTTTAAAGTACTCTAAAAAATTAACTTATTTCGCACTATACTATGTTATTAGCCATTCGGCTTTATTATTAATCGGTTTATATAATAGTTAAATATATGTGACATTGATATAATATAATGATGTAAAATTACGCGATATAGTGCGATTTTGTTTAATCACACTACAATTTCCGAAGCGTAGTTAATGTTTAGTCATGGGTAATACAAAAGTTGAATACGTACGTACGTACGTACATGTTTGTCCGCACACGTGAAATGTCTATAGTGGGAAACAATGGCATACACGTGATCAAACGAATGACCTCACGATTAAAAGTAGGGGTGTTAAATTACGAGTCCTTCTAGGATCGTCCTGCTTAAATCACACACAGTAATACATTTAGACCCTGAATTTGATCCTCCGAATAAGTTTCTGTATGTTAAACAATTCGATTCAGGACCTAAAATGTATTATGTTTTCATGGGACTTAAGGACCGAGTCCTTACCGATCCTTGAAAGGATCTGCCAGGATCGGTACAAGTGAGGAAACAATGTCAACGAATTATCGCTATATCTGGCGTAAAAGATCAGATAATATGCTGCAAGAATATGCACGGAGTTCAAATGATAGAAAAAAAGGAGCTCCTAGTATATACGACTTACGTAGTGTACTGCACATAAATACATTGTAACGGCCCGATTTACGATATATCCGACGTAGTACAATATTTATTTGATTTTTCATTTTATAAGGTAGTTGCGCGACGCAGTTGCGATAAAACCTGGAACGTAAATGTTATTTTGTAAGTGCATAAGTCATAAGTTATTATTTAGTGTGTTATAAAGTTTTTATTAGTTAGATATAATATAAAGAAAATTTTTATGTACTTTGTTGTAAGGTGGTAAAGCTAATTCTCTGGATGGATTCCGGAATATCGCGTTAGCTTCACACAGTAATTTTTGAAAAATTTTAGCTCTTACAAAAGGTAAAAATTCAAAAGGTATGTTATTTTATAAAATATTCGATAAAAAATAAGAAAAATGGTTAAATCTAATTAGAAAACAGTTGTATACTTATGAAAATGATGATCAAGGTCTAATAACATAAGATGTTTTAGTTTGTAAAATTTTGATATATTATAATTATAATATATTAATCTCATCTCACCTCGTATAAATTATATTTAAGATAATTCTTGTAAAATTATAGTTACAAATAAAGCCATTTAACAATATATATGTTGACTTCAAATCGATTCTTTCCCCAGGTGATAACTGAGGCACCTCAAATATCAATTGTCAGATGAGGTGCGTAACTCGTTAATCGGTTACCTCAATTGTCAGATCATGGCCGATGAGATTTATTTTTTGGAATAATGCAATTTTATTTATTCACTCATTACGTTAAACAACTCATTTTATCAAATAAAATATAATCATTTTACGTTTCAATTAGTCGGTAATATATTGAAATTTAATAATCGATAACTTTGAGTCTAATGTCAGGTCAGGCATGAATGAACATTAGTCAACTTACTTTACAGACCTACTAGTCATAAATTTGATATTGATCGTAATATGAAAATTTGTGGAAAAAATATTCTTTTGCAGTTCATATTATAATTTTGACAAGGTCGAATATAATTAAAAAATGCCAAATACTTTGATGTTTCAAGTTATATTATAAATAGTATGCTAATAAAACATTCTTTTCTTTATTTATCTATTAAAACTTTGCATCAAAATTCTTTAAGTGTTAATATAATGCCGAACAATAAGAATTAATTTCAGTTGCTGACGATTGACTTCAGAGGTACCTCAGTTATCACATGAGGCAAGAACCGATCTGAGACACAACATTTATATATTTATAACATTCATTAACCTAATTTATCTCATAACTTTCATCTATTTGTAATAGTTTTGGAACAATTATTTTTATAATATTATTTCTAACTTTACTTTTACTTTGACAGCTACTAAAGTATAATTATTACAAATAAGTTGAATTTGATAACAATCTTCATCCGGTAAATAATGAATAAGTTTGCTTGTTAAGACTATCGGTTCCAATAATTCAAAATTCAGAGACAACAACTCTTGGGCAATTTGTTGAAGCACTTTTAAAATCTTCCCAAATATTTCAATAAATTTTTTACGATTATCATTTTCCTTTAGAATTTGTCGTCATGTAATTTATATATTTCTTTTTTATAGTAAGTAAATCCTATACTATCTTCTCTTTTATCACTATTTGTTATAATTGACAAGGTATTATCTTCACATTATTCACTTACAATTTGAATTTGATAAAGAACTTTTTCTGCCGCTATTTATTTTACAGTAATACCATTATATGTGTTTTTAACATCTCGAGGTGCAGTATATTAGATAAGAATAGAATCAGAGGTTTTAATTTTACTGTCCAATATCAAATAATGCCCTATTACTCTTGCAAATGCACAAAGCAACAACATTTTATGTATCAGCAGTACAAGATACATAAGTAATTGATTGTTCAAATTCAAATGAAATTTTCAAGTCTTTTGGCATGAAAACTATTTAATACCTCATTCATATTTGAGGAAATAGAGTATACTCTTGCATGACAAATTTCATTTTCTTCAAAGTTTTTGTAAATTTCAAATGTATGTGAGTTTGAAATAGTTTCGTCAACTATTTGAATTCTATCATAATATAATCCAACCAAGCATCCTTTTAAATTATTAGATTGATCATGATTAATAGGCGTGAAAGTAATAGAAATCATATTATGATTATCATTAACTTTCATGTTAACGTTAATAGGTTTTAAAAGTTGTATAAATTAGTATTAAGTAATCATTTCGTGACCATTTAAAGTTTCGGATATTAAGAGTAAAGGCAGTTGTTTTGTTCATAAAAGTCTCGATCTGTTTTTCATAAGTATATATTATAACTCGATAACTATGTGCATCTTTGTTCCGATTCCATTTTAACTCTAATTTACTTACACATGGAATGAATTAAAAAATTCTTCAGTAGGTATATAACTTTAATCAATCACCTCTTTAGAAAATGCTTTTATACTTATTAATAAGATTCTTTGTTTTTTTTCTAATTTCAATTAATTATAACTTATATATTAGATAAATTCTCTGAAATTTAATATTAAAAACAACTTCATTAACATTATTAGCATTGCCAATACAATCTATTAATTTGGTTATTATATCCAGCATCCACTAATATAAGTATATTTAAATTAATTTAAGAGGTGAAATTTGTGATACAGTTTCATTTACTAATTTAAATTTACTATCATGCCAATTTTTAGCCATAGATTTTACACCTACTATATATTTACCATCTGGCATTCTATTTGATTTTTCTTCAGTATTAATTATCCATAGTGTGCTATCTAAAGTTTCCCGAATAACAGTTTCACTATAAATTATTATACGTATCAATTTTATTGTTCATAATCAATTCACAGAAATATGTCTCAATATCAGGATCAAAAGAACTAATATTTGTTTCAAGATTTTTATTATCTGTATTGTATTTGGTGTTAATATATTTGGAGGTAACTGTGTTCTTCATGATTTATTTGTACTTTGATTGCAACTCTGAGTATATAGCTTATTATTAATTTTTTAATACTTTCCATTTTAATTTCTTTTATCTTCAACTTTTTTTGCTGATCCAATAATTTGTAAATTAAACCTGATTTTGTAGTAAATTTATTATCTATTGCTTTAGTTGGAATCTTCCAATGTATTTTCAAACCTAAATTTTAACTCAGTTAAACCATCCATACATAAAAATTTTCTATTGCTTTATTTATTCTCCTTTTATATACTTCAATTTCTTTTTTTTCTTTTTATATTCCATTGATTTTGTTTCATTACCATTAGAGATCTTTTTCAGATCCAACAAAGGAATAACCCATTCAAAGAATTCAAACCAAGCATCAATTAGTGTAATTACAAGATCAACTTTAAACGTTAGATTACTTAATATTTTTGATTCTTCTATAGCTTTTATTTCACCTTCTATAAGTTCACGTTCAGGATTTTTTTTCCTTTAAAATATCATAAATCCATTCTTTTATTGTATTTCTTGAATTTTTTTATTTTATCATCAGTTATACATCCAAATCCTTTATAAACTTTGCTAAATTTTATGAATTATCTAATAAACTTTCTAAAAATTTTGCAGTATTCTTTTTAAGCATTTTAATAAATACCAGTTATATTATTAAGATCATCTTCTATTGGATAGTTGATAATCAAATAAATAGTTACTTCAATTGCTCAATAGATGAATTATCCAGGCAACCACCAAAATGCTGGTAATGTTGATTACAGTGTAGTAGTATCATATAGTATATATCGATTGTGGTGTAGCAACAGTATATCAGTTTTATTATCACCATTAATGACAAACTCATTCATGTTTCCAATTCAATTAACTTGAACCCTTCTATAAAAACTCAAAATTTTGAAATTTCATAATAGGTCAGTATAAAAAGTTCTATGAATTCTTATAAAAACATAGTAATTTTTTATATTGAACTTTTTTTCTTTCAGAATCAGTTCATTATGAGAAAGAGTTTATTTATTGCTTATTTAAATATTTTAGTAATCTGTTATTTGGATTATTTTTTATATAGTAAATTGAAAGTTTATTATGTTCTTTGAAATACAATAATATTTTTTTATAAATATTAAACAAACTATATTATTATTCAAATATTAATTAAAATCTTCTGTATTATTATTTGCAACATTTTTCATTGTTCCTGATTTATTTGAGCATAGCATGTATATAAGATATAGCTTTTTACTTGGAATTTAAGTGGCTTATCTTTTTCTTTTTTTCTTCCTCGATTGTATATCTTCTTTCATCTTTACTAATCAGCTCTATTTTATTGTCTCTTAAATTGTAACACAGGCAAATTTGCCTGCATTTTTATTAAAAATTTTAATTTTTTTAATAAAATCTTAAATATTGATTTTAGCTATATATTTTTTAAGTAAAATATTTAATTTTAAATTTGTATTTATTAACTGTATTAAGAAAATTTTTTAAAATTATTAAAAAATTTTAGCATAATAAAAGGTTAAAGTTCTTGTATTGAACTTTTTACTATATAATTTTTTCTTTGAATTTTTTTAAATTTTATATGTTTTTTACTTATAAAATTTTTTTTGCTTCTAAGTAAAGTTTTAATTTTTATTATGTATATCTATAAATAGTTCATATTTATATCTATGTTTATTAACAACACAATGGTATTAACAAAGTTGAACTTTTAAAGCTTCTTATACATTGGTTGCTGTATTTATTTCTTCAAAATTCTTGTTTTTAAATATAAAATTGGCTCAAGACTATACTCTTTCATTGGTATAAAAAGGCCTTCAAGAGTTTACTATATTTCATTATATTAGTATTTGTATTTTAGCTTTTGTAGTGTTTAATACAAAGTAAGCAATTGGATATCAATATCAACTACTATATTATAAAGCTTATAGTGGCCACTTGTAGTTTTATATATTGTATTTATATAGGCTTCTATAATATTAATATTTTTATTTTTAATTATATCTAATAGAAGAGTAGTAAAACCAATTGTCACAACTTTGAAATTTTGAATATAAAAATACTGATAAAAACTTATACTTTTGTATTCTTTAAGTAATTAATATGCTAATAAAACCTGCAGTTACTGCAATTACTCTTCCCATAGATCACTTTTACCAAAACAGGAACAAGAAAAAAAACTTTCCCGCAAGATTATTTCAAAAACCAACTAAGTAAACAGTTATTCGGCTCTTAAGTAAAGTTACTTAGGCCCTCTAGTTGTACTTAAAAGAGGTGCATTTTCTTTAAAAAGCTCCTTTCTCATCAAGTAAATAGCAATAAACTTGTCAAAAGACAAAAAACCAGTTT